GGTTATCGAAATATAATTTAAAATGGCCACATTACATTGAATTTGATGAAATATATTAGCAAAAGTACAGGAAAAATAAAGAATACTTTTTTTAAAATAATGCAATGAAATTATTTAGGGGGGCTAAAGACATTTTTAGGGAGGCTGAAGCCTCCCTAAAATAGGCCTAATGACGCCCATGCGTGTAAGCTTATGTTAAATTATTAATTATTTTCATTTTATATTTGAGCATTATATTTTGTTTGTGTTACAGTTACCTAGGTTATATTCCGTTTCATAATTGCTTAAACAAGTTTATGTTGATATTATCTGATTGGTTAAGCAAACCAGGAAGTCTTTTGTGTTACCGGGAAGGAGGTGTGTTCTCGTTTGTTCGTGTGGAGGTGCAGACGTGGGAAAATAAAAAGCTGCCTTCAAGGATTCCATCTCTCCTTTTGCCCATTTTTGAAGTAGAGCTATCCACTACAAAACTACGAACCTCTCAATTTACACTCGCATGCAAATTTCACTCGTAACATGAGCAAATCCCGAAAACAGGTGAGCTGTGACATTCGCAAGCTGAGCCTTTGATGTCAGTTTCAGTGGACAGCAGGCAACAGTAGAGGACGAAATGGCCGCCTCCTAAGATGGATAAAAGCAGGCTAATTTTTCTGCTTAATTCATATTGTACAAATGTAATACAGGTATTAATCAGAATTCTGTGTTTACAAATGTGGGGGCATCAAGAACATATTAATGCAAAGACAACTTTTGACTTCTAATTGATAACAATCAACTGAGAATTATGTTTGTATGTGTAAATGTTTATTTATTATGTGCCAGTAGGGAAGAATCTGGTTTTTAGAAAGGGCGCTTTGACGACATGAACAACAAGAATCTGCTCCTAATTAGGAGCTGATGTCTTGTTTTTTTTCTTGACTTTTTTCTGTTAAAGCCCCATGTGATTGTTACACGTATGCATACCTGTCAACTTTTCGGAGCGCCAGCCTGTATAAACTACCAAAAAAATCCTTATAAAGAGCAAAAAATCCTTATAACATACCAAAGCATTTTATATGTCAAAATAACGGCAGAAAAAAACCCACGAAATTTTCAATGATATTTATTGTAGATCTCCATAATACAATGTCTGGTTAATGTCTAATCATCATTCTGCTGAGTGGCATTACTGGAAAGTTACCGGAAATGAAAGCATTCGAGTAGACTAGCACCATTCTGGGCAAAAGCAAACGGAACTACCTGTTAGGGGGAGAAAAAAAAACAAAAAACGGAAATTTTCAGAATCCGTATGATTTGTGCGATACGGCCATATACGTAAGATTCACCACAAAATCCGTATGAACTATGGCTAAACCGTATGAGTTGACAGGTATGCGTATGAATGTAAAATGCATGAGTGAGAAAGAGCATGCAAACTCCACACGGGAAGGCCGGAACAGAAATTCAAATCTCTCACCTCAAAACTATGAGATAGACATACTAATCAATTTCCTAATGTGATGTCACATGCAAAATTGTCTTTACTAATTTTAGTTAGACCACCTGACAAACTGAGTGAAATGCTCAGGTGTTGACTGTCAAGGTCAAGTGCAGTGTGTATCACTGTTTCTCATTCAACATCTTACGAATTTGTGTTCAATAAGAAAGAGTTTACAAACATAGACATCTGTAAGTGTGGTTTTAGGCTGAGACCATGTCAGTGTTATTGAGCAAGATACTGAACCCCCTGATGCTGTGTCGCCTGTAGGTAAATGGGGTTAAAAGTGTAAAGCACTTTGAGTATCTGAGGTAGAAAAGCGCTACATAAGTGACAGCCCCTTTACTCTTTGATTCATCGTTTTTGATATTTCATATCAGGACCAATGAAGGTTTGAACACTTTTTGTTAATAAATGAATTAATTAATGAAATGAAATGAGTTACAGTACACGCGACAGTTTTTCCTTTTTGATTTCACCAGCTAACATTTGCCTTCTTGCCCTTGTTTTCATTTTACAATGTATCAGCATGTGCTGCTGAAAATAATGAATTCTATTCAATGGGTTGATTAAATTTGTTGGTGTTTAATGAGAGTGTAAACTTCCTTTTCATGCTCATGCGTACATAGAAAAGCTTTGTGAAGTTTTACCTGGGTCGTCTGTCAGCGATATGTTAGTAAAAGTTGCATCTTCCTCCCCCAAGTCGGCCGCCATGGCCTCACTTTCCTTTTTCTCCTTCAGCTTGGTGTTCTCTCTTAATTTTGTCTAAGAAAAGCAATCAAAATCTCACTGTCTTTTTATGTTCACTCACTTTCTTCCTTATATCAGCCCTTTGTCCACACTCACTTGTTGCCCGAATTATCTACGTCATAGCTACCTACCTTACCTGACTGGTGACTCGAGTTACAAGAGCTGTCATGGAAAAAGATCACCATGGCAACAAGCGCACTAAGAGTTAAAGAAGACGACGACCTCCCTTGCAAGGAAAGCGCCACAGGTCAAAGTTTTAGTACCAGTAACACCACATAAAGGGGTTTATAAAAACACAATGTGATGCACACTCGTCAGTCACACATTAACCTGAATTGTCAGCAAGACACTTTTTTTTCTATCAGCATGCGTCATAAACCTATGACTTGATGCTGTGTAATATTGTGGAACATGTTTTTGGATTAACTGGTTCATCGGTCCTGCTTTGGACTGCTGTACGACTAACAGTCTGTTTGGCCGAAATGCCTTCCGCAGAAACGACGGCGAGTAGTTGCTCTGTGTGGATCTGTGGTGTTAGACTGCACTCTAGTGGTTCATGATAAACACTGCAAAACAGCAACAACACGCATTACTATACAAAAGATTTGATTATAATAATGAGGGCAGCGACAGTCTAAAATGCATCATGAGGAGTGTCAGTCAACAATGCAATGCTCGCATGCAAGTGCATTGAACC